TGGCGCCGAATAACAACGCCCAGGGCACTGCTCAGGGTGTTGCCAACCCAGACCGTGCTCTCTGTTCAGTGCTCCCTTGCCTCAGTGGCCACACGCTGCACAAGACACCCCCGTGAAGCAGGGCTCGCAGCAAGCAGCACTGCATCAATGGGAGGAAAGCCCCTTCTTCCCTCCCGTGACCTCAGGCAGGCACCTCTCTCCATCACAGTTACTCCACAGCAGGGCAGGGACAGTAACTCCTCATCTCCCAGAGGAGGAATTCATTAGCACTTCTTATGCTTCTTGCATCAGGGTGGTAAGACGCAAAAAGCCCAGTTCATCCATTTATTAACGCCAGCACAAGCCTACAGAAATGCCAACCAGGCCAGAGGAGTTGCTCCAGATTTGCTCCAACGTGACACCAGCCTGGACCTCCTGGCAACTAACAGTTGACCAAGCCGAGATATCAATTGCTGACCTTCTGCTAGCACCTCAGGGCTCCAGCCTCAGCATCCTGTGCTCATACACACAAGCCAGTCAGGCTGTCCCCTAAAGTACTCACAACATTTGCAGGTGGGACAAAATGACAGAAAAGAAAAAACAAGGTGAAATAAAGTCACACAGAGGTGGAAGCTGACACCAGAGTGGTGACAAGGCTGGAGACTGGCTCCCGGGCCAGGCTGGCAGCACACAGCCTGGGCATGGCAGCAGCAGTGGGAACACTTCCCCCCCACCTTGGGTTGGTCTCAGACTCCATACAGTCATCACCCCACTTTTAATCAATTTGGAAACATATTGTTCCCTTACAACTATAATTAGAACTCGGCTGAATATTTTTTCCAGTACTATGAACTGCAAGGTTATTTAACAATACCAAATCAATCGGCTCCCTTAATGCACTACCTGGAGTTAACGGGTACCAAAATGAAAGTTATTATACAAGAAATATGCAAAGACTGCAGTCTCTCTCAGAGTCCTTTCCTACCCCCTCTTTGCCACAGTGATGGAGACAGTCAGCACTTTTTCACAGATCAATACTGCACTTGAATGTGACCACCACTCCAATTATTGCCTCAATTACAGAGGCACGAGTTTGCACACCTACCCCTTTATTGAAAAAAAACACCACGCAATATGCTGCCCATTGAAATGGTACCTGTGGGAAATCATTAACCCACTAATTTGAAATCAATTTAAAGCCCATTTGCCTAATGACATGAGCACTGTAAATTATCTATAAATTGTTAATTTATGAGAAAATGACATCAGAATTTTTGTTTTATTAATTGGCTTTTCCAGATGCAAGTTATTTCTAAAGCTTTATAATCCATGTCTCTTGGTGAGCAAACATTAAAACCCGCTTAATAAGATGCCTTTTATGCCAAGAAAAAGAGTAAAATGAGTAAACCCGCTCTTGTGAACACTTCAGTATAAGGGTTTATGCATTCATCCTAGCAATTAGAGAAGGAGAAGTCATGGGGAGAGTGAAAAAAGGTCCTTTGAGTGTCTGTTCACGTTCTTGAACAAAATTGGTTCCAACCACATTTGCATTTTTCAGAGGCAAAATTCCTCCGAGTGCAGAAACCACCACCAGCCCAGGTCACCTCTCCCATCATCCTTGTGCCTCCTTGGCAAGGACTCAGCCAAGCACAGACTGAGCTAAGAATCTCACCTCTCAGCAAATATTTGAGTGACAAACTCACTGCCCAAAGCATTAGCAGGAAATGATTGTCAAAGTCTGTGTCTGGGGACCAGGTTGTGATTTCTTTACCGATACGGAGGTATTAGAGACTAACTTTTCCTGACAGCTTCAGTACATCTACTCCTAGTGCGGGAACACAGAGCCCTTCTTCAGATTGTTTTCTTGTAATATGTACCCAGGTCCACAAAAATTAAGTATCTGGTCAACTGACTCCTATTTCAGTCTCTCACTCCAGTTAGATCTGTATCCTTGATCTCTCATGCAATACTCCAGGTCCTGAATTTCCCTCCTGCCCCATGCAGCTGCTGGGGAATTGCCTGCACACCCATCCGCAGCCACCCACAGAAATCAAGTCCATGCAATTTCTCTACCCCATGGTAACTAAGCAACGTGACTGCAATTTTCAAATGCCGGTATCTACCAACAAAAATACAAGTGGGAAGAAATTAGGGTTTGATTGACCCAGAAAGCAAATGCACCTGAGGAAAGGGCAGCCTGCTCCTGGACAGTCACTGGGCACAGATTTATTGCAGATGAGTTTCTTGGTCCCAGCACTCACCTTTATTGAACAGTCAGAAATAAAATCTTCAAGTGCACCATGACCTTGACAGGAATAAAAAAAGGGATCACAACGATTTTTGGCTGCAGTCTGATGTCAAGCAAATCCTTCAGCACTGGATTCTCCAGTTTCAGTACAATTTTGAGGGAAAAGACAGCACAGGAACAAGGTAACAGAAGCTCAGGAGAGCTTTGCTTCAGAGCCCAAATTCCTACCCAGGAGGTCTTTCCCAGACCAAGCGTCCAGCAGAAACCTGGAGATGACCAGGCCAGGCTGCTTTCAACTATGTCTGGAGAAAGGCAATTGAGCCCCAAAGCTGGCAGGAACACTGCTTGCTCCACCATGGTGCACACACACCAGGCATGGGGTAAGCCACCTCCACTCCCTCTTTTCTCTTCCTGATGTTTTCAGGACCTGAACCAAAAATCCCCCCAACCAGCATGAGAACTTTCAGGAGTACATAAATGAAAGCTCCTCTGTGCAGGGACCAACTACCCCTGTGCTTGAGCAGCAGCCGGCACGCACAGAAAGCTCATTTTTTGCCAAAATAGAAAGCTGCAATCTCAAAGCTCCCCTCTTCCATTAATGCTCTATTTAAGTCTGTCTTTGAATCTGTCTGGATCACAAACCCACCCCCTCTCAGCAAACCCCCTTCCCAGACAGCCCTCCCCCTCTTCTCTGCTAAATAGATACTAAAAATAAATATATACCAGGGAGAACTTGTTGGGAAAAAGAGGACTGGGATTTTTTAAAAGCTTCCCCCTCCTTCATCCACTCCATAAACACACACATCAAAACAGAGCTGCTTTGTTGTTTGCTCTCACGGCTCCTGTCCCTCCACCACCATTCACTGCCACAGCTCCTGCTGGAAGAGTGCAAGGCTGGGAATACCCTTCCCCAGGGACACCCCAAACCCCGCTGCCCCTCTCCTCCAGCAGGTCAGGAGCTGAATGGAAGTGTGCTGAAGGAGAAACCTCCAGATGAATGCTGGCCCTATTCCCCGATCCCCTAGTGAAACCAATCCAGTCGGAAGAATTCCTGCCTGCTGATATGCTAATATTTTAAATGAGCTTTAATTGGTTTCCCAACACTACCAGTGTCACTCGCACACCCGGCGCCAGCCCTCATTGCTGTCAGCCCCATTGTGCTGCATCTGCACCCTGCACAGCCCAAACAGAGGAGGTGCTGGTTCCTTTGGGTCCGTTCTGCTTGTCCCACTTGTACTCTGAACACATTTATTATGGTGTAAAAAAATCACAGTACCACCTGTTCTAATCGTTTCACAGTTCCCATTTAGAAGAAAACACCCTTGGGCTGGGGGAGAGCAGATAAGAAAATCCAGCAGTCCTTGTGCTGGCTGATCTTAAAAACAGCATGAGGGGAAGGGTGCGTGGGTATGTGTAGGAGCTGGGTGAGTCACACACCATCTTTAGCCAACGAGCATTGCTCTGCGGCTCTCACAGAGCTCGGCCCAGGAGCCCATCCATATCTCTGCAGAGACCGAGCTGGAGGTAACGTACCTGCACAGGGTTGAGCTTTGCTGCTGCAGCTGCTCAGAAGCAGAGGTGGCTGATTCAGACTGTCTCACCTCCATTACGCTGAACACAGTTCCTCAAATTTTGTGCTGGCATTAAATGAGCGTATCATTTGTTCCATAGCTCTGCTCTGAGAGGCTATGGCTCACAGTTCTCCACGCGAGTCACTTGAAGCAGCAGGATGATGTGCCTGTCCCTCCCCATAACCCTCACTTTCCTCCATGGCCCTCTGGAGGACTCTGTCCCCACTCCCCCTCCTTCAACTCATAAGCTTCCCCAATAATGCAGCCCTGCTTCAGGCTGGATCAAAATGACACTGTTCGACCTGTACTGCCTTTTAATCAGACAACAGGCAACATTACCAAGGGCAAGAGCTCTGCAGTGTTCCCAGGGAAGACACCGGTTGTCTTCAGCTCTTGCTACACCCCATGTTTTTGGCCAGCACCTCCTCCTCTCTCTCTCCCCATATTTTCTCCCCCGACTGCAACATCCCTCCCAGCTCATCCCTCCTGGAGAGAAGGCAGCATAACTGATAGCCTAACACAAAGGCTCTTTCAGTTAAGGCTCGGGAGAACCTCAACAGCGTCTCTCCCCAGGTACAATGTGAGGCCTTGCCTAGAATCCTAGGAACACCTTGGGGTTTATATTTATTTTGTAGTGTGATCATCAAGCAAGACAGCAAAGAGACTCGTCACCATCCATCATGAGCTTCATTGTTTAGTAATAAGATGTATTGCCCCCTTGCAGCAAAATAACACTCTAGCCAGAGCTCCCATTTGTTATGATCTGGCTGACTGGGACAGCTGTTCGTGTCAATGCTGTAAACACTCCATTTGGAGCAGAGACAGCAAATTTTAAGTGGTAATAAATGGGAGTGCAGGCTGCCGAGCGCACGCGAGGTTAGTGGCTGGTCACTACCAGCCTTCCCCAGCCAGGCTCCTTGAGCATCTCCAGCCCAGTGCTGGCAACCATCAACCCTCTCCAAACACACAGCAGGGAGTGTGGCCCTGCCTGCAGATTAGTCCCAGCTCTGTCCCACATGTCCCCCCCAGCACCCAGTTAACTCTGCTGGGAGGTGCACAGCACAGCCACCATCGCAGAGTGCCCCCAAAAGCCAGCTGCTGGCCGGGCAGGGAGGGTTTGTTATCGGAACCAGTGGGGTAAGGCAGCTTTATTCACTCAGCAGGAAGGGGGTCAGAGCAACAGCGCTGGAGGAAAAACTTACTTGTCTCCATGCCTCAGGAAGGAGCTGAATCCACTTCTCTGTAGTTAAGTTTTATTAGAAACAGCCTCAGCAGATCAGGCAGCAGAGATAAGGTTTTCTGGAGAGCACCAGCAGACTTCAGTAGTACGCAATGATAACCTGTGGAGAACAGAATTAATGCTTAGCTGGGTGTCTCTGACCAGGTGCTGGTGCCCTCTCTGCCGTCCAGGGTTAGAGACATGCTCTTATCTCAGGTTTATGACCAGCTGCACAGACTGCTCAGCCCTAAAGCTCCAAAGCAGCAAAGGGCCAGCAAAACTCAGCCTCTGGCAGCAGCTAGAAGGTAACAACTGCATACTGGGGGATGAGAGATGAACCGTCTCCAGACCAGATGCCTAAACACATGCTGGGGCAGTTCAGAGCACTCTCTCTCCCCACATCAGCTGCACTGTCGTCAGTGTAAGCCAGGCCCCAAGGAAAGAACAGCCTTCCTGTATTCCCAGTCCTGGGACACTGCGAGGATCCCGCAGAGGAGCAAGGGCAGCTCCTCTGCAAAGCAGCCTCAGACAATGCAGCGTCCATCAGTGGATTTCACTGAGGTCGCAGCCTCACACATTAGACACAGATGTCACCTCCATTTTCACATCAGGAAAAATAAAGCTTAAAGACATACAGACAACACACTGGTAAGAATTCACGATTTATCATCACTACATCCCAGGCATCTCTGGGTTTACCCTTTGGCTCCCTTAGAGCAGCTCCTTTGAGAGGTACATGAATACCAGAGGCAGGGGACAGGTCACACCTATGTCTCTGACAAACTAGAACCCTCAGGAAGAGTGCAATGGTTTAAAAAGAAAATAATTAAAAATCAACCCGCCACCCACTGCAGCCAGCCTGAGAAACTGTCATGAGGAACAGTTTACCCCCAAAAGAGCATACAGTGGGAGCACCGTGCACCATCCAGAGCTAGCTCAATAGCACCTGCAGGAAAAAATAAAAATCTGTCTACTTTTCACAGAATTCAACCAGCCCTCCCAACTGTTTCAGCTGTCTGAAGGCAGTGCTGTGTCACCATGCCAGAGGGAATGGACTGAGTCTTAAGATAGAACGGGTAAAGACAGCAAACATGACCAAAGCAGCACCTCACCACCACCTTCCCTTGAGCAGCCCTGCAGTTTAAGGAGCTTCTCTTGCCAGAAACTTCCCCCTCTCCAAACAAAGAGCTGGAAAGAAAATCCCACAGGCAGCAGATCCTTCAGCACTCTTGGGCTGTGTCTCATTCAGGGAACGACCACAAGCCCAAGCGATACTCAAGGACATGAACAGCCACTGTTTACCCTCCAGTGACAAAACTGTATTGTTCATCAAACACAAACTCCTTGAAGCAAAGCAGAGCAGCTGTGGCAGGCCCCAGCAAACTCATCGTGCTCTTGAATACCACCAAGGGGACAGCTTGTGGCTTTCATCACCCCCCACAGCATGGACCTGCTCTGACAGGCAGTGTGCAATGCTGAGACAACAAACTTTGGTCCAGACTCAGCCAGCCATTTGTGAGCAATTATCTCATGCACTGACTGCTTGATCACCTCACCTGCTCATTTTGCCAACTCCTTTGTTACTCTGCAAAAAGCTCAGGCCATTACACATTGGGAAAGGCTCTCAGCCAGCCAATGGGTTTGGGAATGGGTCCAAGTGAGAACACCCAAGTCCCTGTTGCCTGCCCATATGCCTCTGTCCAACACAACACAGCCCTGGGAAGCTCAGCGGGACACAGGCCACCAGCTAGAAAGGGTTAAAAGTCCTAGTGTAGATGAGCAACCTTCCCTTGCAGTCAAACCTGCACTTCTCACTCAGCACCAAGAGATTCAATTGAAAAGGTCCTCAAAGTTTAAGAAAAAAAAAGCACCTCCACACAACTGTTTAAAAGCTCACCCTGAGTTTGCCGTGCCCCAGGCTGAAAGGGTCCCATTCCTTCTGCATCTGCACTTTCTGGGTTCAGTCTGGTAAGGGAAATAATCTCAGATCACCTCATTTCACATGGGAACTTCTTAATCACCCAACACCCATCACCTGCAGTGCTCTGACAAGGCTGCAGAGCTCGTAACTGACGAGGAACAAGGCATCAGCACCCACACCTGTGGCTAGGATGAGCCTAACACAGAACACAAGCTAACAAACATTAAAGTAAAGCAGTCATGAGGTAGCAAGAGCTTCTTGCTTTCCTGCCAAAACCAGCCAAGCCACAATGCTGTCAGTGCCACACTTCAGGTCACCCCTTCAGCAAGTGGATGTCCTCACACGCACCCTCATTCTGGGGACCCCAAGACTGCCACGTGCTGTCAGATCAGCTCCCAAAGCAGCACCACAACCTCTCCACTCACACATAGCCTCTCTTGGCTAATCCAGATGCATATGGCTGGTCCATACCTTCTCCCTGACCTTTTTCACCCCTTGGCAATTGCTTCACAACCTCCTTTTCCACAAGCAGAACCTTTCATGTTGAAGATGGAGGACGTTTCTACTGCCTGCCTAAATCACAAGCTATTTGTAATTTAATTCAGCCTCCTCCACTTCCCATCACAAGCAGCTGATTTCAGTGTTGTTTACCAGCTGCTGCCTTTCAGCCCAGCCATGGCTGCGCCTCCCTGGCAGATTAATCCATCCCCCCAGACTGACACGTGCACAACCCCACCCAGCAAAAAGGCTTCTCTGCTTCAAATCTGGGTTTGAAACCAAATCTTTGGCAATTTTTCTCACTACAGCCCAATGCACTTGAGGCCTTTTTCCTGTCCAGGCTCCTTCACTGTTTTTTTCTCTGCCAAAATACCCATCAAGGTGCTGACCAAGCTCCCTGGCCCTTCCTACAGCTTGTTGCAAGCAGCAGTCTCAAACATGTTTTCATACTGAGCTCCTGGGGCAATAAACTTGCTCTAACTTGAGAGATAGGGAAAAGAAAAAAGGCAACAAGAAATAGGCATCGTGGGCCAACACTGAGAGAGACGTGATCCACAAACCTTCCAAGTTCCCACTGTTTGAGGCTCACTTGAGCTCCTGTGCTGGCTTACAGCAAAGCCTGGCACCCAGCCCCTCCAGCTTCTGTTCATCACCACCCCCAGGCCCCGAGGAGCACATAATAGCTGAATAAACAGCCACCAGGGCACAAAAAAAAGAGCATCCCAGAGGCACAGCTCCCCACGGGTCTGCCAGAGCTCTGCGCGCTGCTTGAGGAGCCACTAAGATGTGTCATCTGCAGGGTGACAAATTACCGGGGAAGGGAAGAGAGTGAGTCATCCTCTTTGACTGACCTTTGTGTCAATCACCGGGGGAGAAGACTGTTCCCCAGCTACTCAGAAACCGATAATGAGCCCCGCGGGGCTGCACGGGGACCAGCCCCGGCCGGGGACCAGCCCCGTTCGGCGCAGGGCAGGGCGCTCAGAGCGGGCGGGTGCCGAGAAAAGCACCGAGGAGCAAAATCCGTGCTCCTGACTGCGGGGGGGAAAAAAATAATAAAAAAAAAAAAAGCAGAAGACCCTTGTTTACATGAGCACGGCTGAGGCAGGCGGTGGATCGGCGCAGGGCAGGGCGCTCAGAGCGGGCGGGTGCCGAGAAAAGCACCGAGGAGCAAAATCCGTGCTCCTGACTGCGGGGGGGGAAAAAATAATAAAAAAAAAAAATCAGAAGACCCTTGTTTACATCAGCACGGCTGAGGCAGGCGGTGGAAAAGCTCCCTATTTGTGTGCTAAAACCCCTGCAGCAGCGCGGAGGATGGACGGGGCACGGCGCTAAGGGGGGAGCGGAGGGGACGGGCCGGGCCGGGGGGCGGCCCAGCTCCCCTCACGGAGCGGCGGAGGGCGGCACCGCGCCGGCGGGGCCCTGAGGGGACAGACCCCCAGCTCCCCTCCCTCCTCCAGCAGCGCTGCCGCGGCCCCCCATCGCCACCCCGCCACGGGGGGGGGTGTCCACTCACCCCTGGCGACGTCCTGCCGTGTCCCGTCGTGTCGCGTCACCCGTGTGGCGGCGGAGGCAGCAGCCTCCCCTCAGCGCCCCCCCCGGGGCTGCGCCTTAACGGCGCCCGATGAGGTAACGGCTGCACCTGAGCCCGCCCGCGCGTGCCAAGGCCTCGTGCAAAGGCCTCGTGCAAAG